TGGCTCCTGCTGTCGACCAGGGCACTCACCTCTTGCCAAATCACAGCACCTTCCTCCTTGCCTTGGCTTCTCTGGTCCCACAGAGGGGCCATCTCCTCCTGCGACCTCACTGCAGCCCACAGACCAGGGATGTAAATCCTTCCACGAGGCATCTGGGGTGGGACTGCTGCTGCTTCTGTCTCCATGGCAAATGTGGGTGGGGGAGGTGGGGTGTATTGGAATGCCATTGAGAATGGTGTAGGGTATGGAAATGCGTGTGAGTGAGGCATTGGCAGAAGAGGTTGAAAGACCTGGGCCCAGGGACTCAGGTGTTCTGGCACGTAAAACACGCCTTCTTGGGCTTCGGTCTGTGCCTCCTCCTTCTGGGACTCCGCATCTAGCCTGCCTTGTGCTCCCGTGGCTGCCACCTTGCCTTGCTCCTCTGCATGCTGGGGCCACGCCTCTTCCCCACGCTGGTTGGCGGGCAACTGGTCACGACCTGCGGGTTGATCTTGGCCCACTTCTCCACCTCGAGCCGCCGCTTGCGAAGCACTTCTCGCTCTTCCAGCGCCTGCTGCAGGGTGTCGCATGTGCAGCGCAACCGCGAAGCCATCTCCTCGCGCTCCTCGCGCAGCCGCTGCAGCTCGGAGGCCAGGACCCTGGTGGCTGCCTCGCGCTCCTCCACCTGCTCCTGCAGCCGCCACACCCGGCGAGTCTGCTGCTGCTGCTGCCTGGCAGCCAAGCGCACACTCAGGGCCAGCGCACTCCAGGCACAGGCCTTCTTGATGGGGCTGGGCACCTGTGGGTCCAACACCATGAGCCGGAGCTGGTCCTCCACCTCATTCCAGGGCTGCGAGCAGAAGGCCAGGAAGAAGTCTGGGCTGCCGCCGTTACGGAGGATCTCTTCATTGATGAACCCAACCACCTCCCTGTGGCGGAATCCATTCCTGGGGTCTCTGAAGTTCATGGCCATGGCCACTGGGCCCTAGTGAGCCGGCCTGTCTCAAAAGACGCCACCAGGCTATTTTTCTAGATGGTGTTCACCACCTGGTCAGCCCCTCACCTCCTCGTTCAGTCCCAGTTCATCCCTATCCCAGTCCTGGCCTCCTCCTTGGCCTACTTTCCCCCCTCACTCCCTGGTCCTCCTCACTAAGACCGAAGCAGATTCCCTCAGCACACCAACTCCTACTGAGGCGACGGCGTGTCATATCACAGAGACGAGCACAATCTTACCTCAATGCCTGCTGGGACCGACTTTCCTTGGCAGAGTGTCCCCCTCACCCCACCGCGTGGCGGGCTGGCTGTGGGACTGGGGCAGGGGGCGGCGCATTGAGCCCAGAGATGACTCTTGTTTCCAAGAGCTTTTGAAGGACCACACCCAGCCACCAAGAATGAATTGCTAACCTGATGGTGGGGGTGGACAGGTGGGTGCACGAGACACCTCGGAAGACAGGCCTGGCGATCTGCTTCTGAAAGGCCTTGAAAACCTTATGGAGCAGTTTCAGTGAGTGTTTCCTAAGAACAAAATCATTTTCTAATATAACAACAGGATAATTATCAAAATCAGGAAATTAAAAAAAAAATTTTTGTAGTTTAGATGAAGATTTACAGAATAAACTAGCTTCTCATTAAACAGTTAGTACACATATTGTTTTATGACATTGGTTAACAACCCTACAACATGTCAACACTCTCCCTTATCAACCTTGGGTTCCCTATTACCAGCTTTCCTGTCCCCTCCTGCCTTCTAGTCCTTGCCCCTAGGCTGATGTGCCCCTTTAGTCTCATTTTGTTTTATGGGCCAAAATCAGGGAAATTTAACATTAATACAATACTATTAGCTAATCCAGAGTCCACATTCATATTTCTTACTTGTCTTTATAATGTCCTTTATGGCTATTTTTTCTTGGTGTGAAGATTCATTTCAGAGTTACATGTTGCCTTTTTTTCTTGACCTTAGCATTTTTGAAGAGTGCAGACCAGTTGTTGTGCATGCTGTCCTTGAATTTATGTGTGATGTTTCCTCGTGATTAGATGTAGTTTATGCATATTACAGACCTGATGATGCATTTTCTCGGTGATCTTATTAGGAGTCACATGATGTTGCTTTGCCCCAATATTAGTGATGTTAACTTGTTCACCTGGTTAAGGTGGTGTTCTCTAGGTTTCTGCACTGTGAAGTTAGCCTTTTTGTTTGTTTGCTTTTAAATAATGGATGATTTGTGGGAAGATATATTTTACGCAAATAATGCATGTGTTATACATTTTTCCCAACCACGCCCTCCTCCCTCCAGGTATTTTCATAAGCGTGCTATGCTAATTTTTTTACAGCAACATGTAAAAAATTATCATAATGCACTTACAAAAATACCTCGGGGGGGAGGGCACAGTTGGCAAAAAAAGTATAACACACGTTATTTGCATAAAAATATATGGTACATTGACACTATATAAATATCCCACTCATCACAAAACTTTCATCCTTTGTCTTTACCATTCATTCATGATTTTCCAACTCCATCGGGCCTTTTAGATTTATTAGTTGACACTTTATTGTAAGAGCCTCTAAGATGGCTCTCAGAAATCCCTGCTCCTGGTATTCCCGCCCTTGTGTCATCTCCTTGCTTTCAATATGGGCTGGACTTATTCACTCGCTTCTAACAAATAGAATGTGTCGGAAGTGATGGGATGATACTTCTGAAATTAGGTTATAAAAAGATTGTGGTTTCCATTTTGGGAGTTCTCTCTCACTCTTTCTCTAGGATCAGTTTCACCGGGAGAAGCCAGCTGCCTTGTCATGAGGCAGCTTGTGGAGTGGGCCATGTGAGAGAACTTGGAAGTAGATCTGAGGCTTGCCAACAGCCATATAAATGAGCTCGGAAGTAGATTCTTCCCTAGTCAAGCCTTCAGATGAGACCATAGTCCCAGCCACAGCTTGACTGTAACCTTATGAGAGACTTTGAGCCAGAGGCACCTAGGTAAGCCACATCTAGATTCCTGACCAACAGAAACTGTGAGATAATAAATGTGTTTTTTTAAGCTGCTAAATTTTGGAATAATTTGTTACACAGCTAAAGATAACTAATACAGCATGTAACTCTGTACTGGCCAATGAGACTTAATAGGAAATCTGTTGGCAGTTTCTGGGAAAGATTTTCCTATGTGATCAGAAAGAGGCCAATGAAGAGAAACTCTTTCACACCCAGCTCCTCCCTTTCTGTTTGGGATGCCAGTTTGAGAGTGTGTTGTTTGGAGCTATGGTAGTTGTCTTGAGACCATGAGAAGAGACAAGGCTGACACACTGCTGATGGTAGTGTGAGAAAGAGTAAGAGAGCTTGGGCCCTTGATGATATAATTTAACCTCTAAAATGACCTTGACACTCTGTGCTCCATACTTCCAGTTGTGCTGAATAATTAAATGTCTTTATGGTGGATAGATGCTTAGGTGGTGCAAACAGTCTGCATTTAACCACTAACCTAAAGGTTGACAGTTCAAATCCACCCAGAGGTACTGTGAAAGAAAGGCCTGGCGATCTGCTTCCATTAAGAATATAGCCAAGAAAACCCTATGGGGCAATCCTATTCTGTAACACATGGGCCGCCATAAATCGGAATTGACTCGACAGCAATGGGTTTGGTTTTGGGTTATGGCTGAGGACAGTTTTAGTTGGACTGACTTGCAATGAAATGTGTGCCTAACTGATACAATGTCAAAGGTACAATCAACTGTAACTATGCATAATTTGTTCTAGTAACTATGCATTATTTATTCTAGGAACACGAAGGTAGTTCAACATAAAGAAATTTATCAACATAATTTTTGACATCAACAGATCAAATGAAACTGTCCTAAGACCATATCAATAACATAACTTTAAAGATATTTGATAAAATTCAGCAGCTATTCCTAATAAAAACAATAGGTTAAAGAATAATAATAGAAAATATCTACTTAAAGACTACTTAGCAAAATTTATCAAAAAACGTCATTGTAAAACGTGAAACAATATAAAAATATATCCATGAAAGTCAGGAATTGCACAGGGATGTTGTCATCATTATCGTTCCATATTGTCTTAGAAATTCTAATGTTTGTTGTTGTTAGTTGCTGTCAAGTCAATTCTGACTCATGGCAACTCTATTTGTGTCAGAGTAGAACTGTGCTCTATAGGGCTTTCAAGGCTGTGACCTTTCGAAAGCAGATCGCCAGGCCTGTCTCCTGAGGCGCCTCTGGGTAAGTTGAAACTGCCAACCTTTTGGCTTAGTAGTCAAGTGCTTAACCATTCGCACCACCTAGGGAGCTCAGAAATTCTAAGAAGTATATTAAAACAAAGAAATGAAATAACCAGTAAGAACGTTGAAAACAAAAAGAGTTAAAAATTTTTCCGGTATGACTGTGTACCCTCAAATTCAAGAAACTCCAATTTAAAAAAACACCAGAATTAAGAGAAAAAGATTTCAAGATCACTGGATATAAGTTAATATACAAAACATAAATAGAGTTCTCTGTACTAGCAAAAAAGCACCAACAAACGGAAATGGGGGAAATACTTCATTCAGAAAAATGACAAAGTATAAAATACTTGGAAATAAATTTAAGAAGAAAGATACACAACCTATACAAAAAAATCTTATGGAAGGAATTAAAACAAAATTTAAACACATGGAGAAAGATGTCAGGTTCTTAGATGCGAAACATGTAATATCATAGCAATGATATTTATCTGAATATTAATATACATATTTAATTCAATGCCTAATAGAATCCCAAAAGTCTGTTCTTTGGGCATAAATAGACCTTTAAGATTGTATAAAAGAATTAATGCCTGAAAATATCCAAGAAAGAATGAAAATGAAGAATGGTGAGGGAAGACTAACCTTACCAGATATAAAAACACAGAATAAAGCCACTGTAATGAAATCCATACAGTACTATTACAGGAATAGACCAATAAATCACTGGTACAAAATAAATCATCCAGACACAGAGAAGGTGTATGTGTGTGTTTCAATCTGTTGACGTTATTAATATTGTTTTATAAAGTAAATGGTCATTTAGATTTACTTATTTATTTACCACTTTCTTTGCTCTTCATTCCTTCCTGCATCCCTAACACTCCAACTGGGATCATTTACTTACTCCCTGATTGACATCGTTTAGAATTGTATTTAGCACAGGTCTGCTGGTAGTGAACTACCTGTTTTTGCTTGTCTGGAAATGTTTATTTTTCTTACATGTTTGAAGGATATTTTCACTGGGTATAGAATTCCATGTTAGCAGCTTTATCTTTCAGCAGTTTGAAAACACTGTCTTCTGGCTTCTATTGTTGCTATTGAGACATTGGCTATCAGTTGAACTTTTATTCCTTTGAAGGTAATCTCTTTTTTTGGTTTCTTCTGCTTGCTTTTATCATTTTCTGTTTGTTTTTGGTTTCCTCCCATTTCGCTATGAGATTGTATACTATGATATGTGGATTTGATTTTATTTGTCATGTTTAAGATTTTCTGGGTTTCTTGAATCTGTGCATTGAGGTATTTTGTCGTATCTGGAAAATTCTCAGCTTTTATATCTTCAAATATTGTTTAAGCCCCATTGTCTCATTCCTTTCTTTCTGGAACACTAGTTAAAGATATGTTGGACTTCCTGACTATATGGTTCATATTTCCTAACTCTCTTTTATTTTTTTCAACATCTTCTCTCTTTATCTCATTCTGTATAGTTTCTTCTAACCTATCTTCCAGTTCAATAATTACCTCTTTAGTTGTATCTAATCTGCTTTTAATGTATCTGTTGAGTGATTAATTTCATTATTGTGTTTTTTACTTTGAGAATTCATCTTAATATTTTTAGTTGGGTGAATCATTTTTTTATAATTTTCATTTCCATACTGAACCTTTTAGGATTAGCTCTTATCTCATTGAACAAGAAGGGAGTATTTATCATCTCTCTCTCATTCCCCAAAGGTCAAGGAATGCCCTCATGGGTTGTTAATTTCCTCACACTTCTAGGTTTGTGCATGCATCAGAGTGACTGAACTAGTTTCTGCAAGCATCCTGTGAGGCAGCACCAGAGAAGCTCCTGGACATGAAGTGAGAAAAACATGATGCAGTTGAGGTGAGGTGCTCTCTAATATACCCGTGTATAGCTGACTGGACCAGTAACACCTGGAGCAAAACACGGCGGACCAAGAATATCTGAGATGGAACACAAGAAATGTTTGATAAAGCATATGATAAGCAATGCTCTTGTACATATCTCAGTAGAAAAACATAACACATCTTCATAAACTTGTGGATATCTTCCTATTTTAGGTAGTACACAGCACTTATTGTTGTTGTATAGGAAAAAATGGAAAACCGAGGTCATTCCTTGAATGATGGATGTTTGCTTCTACTATGCCCTACTGCGCTTTTTCTAGAACTTTCTCTGTAAACATCAACTTTTCATTTCAATGCATAATCATGGTGAAATAACTTTGACAATGTTCTAAACACAACATATAGTACCAACAATGAGCATGTCTCACCTGAAGTGATAACAATATGAACAGCTAAGACCTAGTTTGCAAATGTGCAGACAGTGTTGTCTGTTATATGTGCTACCTGGTCAATGGAAATTATAAGATGCCGTCAATTGTAAAATTCACTCCAATTTCAGAAATGTTAAAATGTGGGGGAGAGCGCATCTTAGAATAGGTTAAATAAGGTGTAAACAGTTGCTGTTGAGTTGATTCCCACTCGTGGTGATTCCATGTGTGTCAGAGTAGAACTGTGCTCCGTAAGGTTTTCATGGGCTGATTTTTTCGGAAGACGAACACCAGGCCTTTCTGCCTGGTCTGTCTTAGTCTGGAAGCGCCACTGAAACCTGTCCAGCATCAAAGCAACATGCTTCAGCCTAGCCTCTGAGTTGAGCAAGGAACTGGAAATATTTCTGTTGTTAACAGCAATTGCCACTAGAGATTTGATCCGAGAGACAGTTTGTGGCCAGATGTGCCCTGTAGCCACCTATCCAGGCTTTCATCAAGCCATTGTAGAATGACTCTTTGGATTTTGGTTCCTTCCCCCAACCTCAAATTTTCTCTTAGTGTTCCTCTGCTATACAAACAGAACAACTTATACCAGGACTGAACCTTGATGACAAAGCAGCCTTCTGAGAAACTGGAGCACGGATGCTGCAAAAGGAAAAATGCTCAGAAATTAAACAACTTTTAGTTTTACTCTGCTGTGGCTAAATCCCATGAGCCAAAAAAGGGAAAGGGAAAAGGAGAAGAAGAAGAAAAACGGGTCTTTAACTTCTAGGCTGTGAGTTGTCATATTTTCTCTCCATATTCCTGTCCAATATTTCTACGGGAAAATCAGTGATGAAGGCTAGAAAGAGAAATCATACATTTTTTTAATTTCGATTTATTGTTGTCAACATCTCCCCAAGACAATGTTAATGTTTTCTTCATAAAGATCCCCAGAAAATAGATGCCTAAGAGAGGTTACTTTAGAATAATAATTCCAGAGGTGTGGGGATGAAAAATCAAAATCAAAATCTAGAATGGACAAAACCATGGAGGTATTTGGAAGTATTCTTTCTCATCGACAACCAAGTAAAACCAAGTGCATTGCAACAGATGGTATATGCACCAGATCCTGGTACAACACAGTATGGGGAACTATTTAAATTAATCTACTGGAAGTTTATTAAACAGTGTTCAATTTTAATGAATATACTATAATATCCAGTTCTGTATAATAAAGCTTTTTTTTTTCCATGTCCCAGTCAACAAATCAAACTATCTTAGCCAACATCCAATACTGCTTTGAAACTGTGGACCTGATGGATTCCATTGACTGAGAAGTACTGTATGACAAAAGATTCATAATACCTTGTCTGATTAATAGTCAACGTATTTAACAGGATATTATATTAGTATAAAATATAGCACCAGTAGTTGAATCCTGTGAAATGTTAACTATTCTAATTCAAATTTGACATGTTTAAAAATGCTTGGGGATATTTTTCATTGATTTTTTAAAAGATAGTACTTCCTTGTAAGCAGCAACTCAGAGTAGAAAGAGCACTGGACCTGGAGTCAGATGCAATGCAGGTTGTTCTCACTAAACGCTCTCTACAATCCCTTCCAGATCTAATGTTCTATTATCTTTTACTACTGAATCTTGAGGGTTTGATTATTTGAGGTAATTTTTAAATGGCTTTAAAGTTGTTGCTGTCTTTAAGCATTTTGTTCTTTTTAAGTTAATTTTGAACATGGAATTTGGTCAGGAAAGGGGTTGGGAGGAGACACGTTCTTGTTTTTCTCTGTTTTCCACAGACCTGCTGTAGTGTATCTTCTATCACTTGTTAATAACGGTTAGCAACCCCACCCCCCTCTACTCTCAATAAGATTTGGGTGGTGTCTGGGGAGGAGATTCCACAGAGCAATAGCAGTCCTTTCTGCTGCAAAGCCAAGGGAAAAATGCTATCTGAGGGACTAGATTGGTGTGGTATGTTTCTATACCTGGCTTAAGTTCCCGAGATTAAACAGCTTAGAATTTCTTAAGAGAGTTCACTTAAGCAAATGTCGCTTGTATTCTCTGCTTTCCTTCTCCGTAACCGCACCTGTGTTTACATCTTCACATCAATGTCTGTCCAGTAGGAATCACAGGCCTAAAATGTCCAAAACTGATCTCAACATCTTCTCCGAACCTACTTCTCTCTTGTATTCCCAGTCTTGATCAACAGTGTCACCATCCAACTCATTCTAGCCAAGCTCAAAACCTCGGAGTCATTCTGGACGCCTCCTCCTTGATTCCCCGTTCCTCAGTCTTGCCCCTCTCCAATCCACCCTTCACACTGTGGCTGCCAAAGTGCTCTTTCTACAATGCAAATATGATCACAGCGCTTCCTTGCTTAAGATGCTTTAATGATTCCTTTTTACCTACCGGATAAAACTCAAACTCCTCGGGAGTCCCTGCCTACCTCTCTAGCCCCAGCTCCTGCCACTCCCTGCCATTCCTTTGAACCCTTTGCACTCTAGCTATGTGAGCTGCTCACAGTTACAACATGGCCTTGTATGATTGTGACTTTGCACGTGAAATTCCCACTGCTACTTTCTCAGCTCGGCTTAGTTACTTTTCCTCATGCTCTCATAGCATTTCCGTGTACAGTAAAACCTGCGAAAGCCAGAACCTGTGTGAAGCGGAAACCTGTCAGAGAAGGAAAACTCAAATATTTTCCACTAAAATGGGTGATAGAAAAGTGGTAAGCTGTACTCTGTCAAAGGTGGAAAACTTGCGAGACCCGGAAAAACACGGCAGCCCCATCGAGTTCCAGCTCTCACAGGTTTCACTGTACTAGTTTTATAACTCTTGTCACACTAGATTGTAGTTACTTCTTTGTCTCCTTCACTAGACTACGGATTCCCTGTTTTGAGAGAAGGTAAACATTTAGAGGCGATCAGGCTCTCGTTGCTTCTAGGCGGCATTTAAGCTATTCTGTGATGCCTGCCTTCTCTCTTTGTCCCAGCCCTCCCCCTGGTGGAGGTGATAAGAAGCAGTGACATGGCCAAAGATAAGGCAAAACAGCCTGGCTGATTCACAACCTGGAGAAACATCTGTCTCAAATCATTTTTAAAGAAAATGCAAAACTGGCTAATCAGCGTTGAGTGTAGGTGGCCTGGCAGGAACTTTCTGTCTTGCCATGTATTAGCTGGAAGACCCTGATTTTAACCACCAGAGCTGTAGCTGGGTGTCAACACACCCATCCCTGATGGTCCAAAAGAGCCTCACACTACTGTCAAACAAATAGTCCAAGAAGAATTAGCTGGGAGAGATATTCCTCCTTGTTTTCTCCTCTGCCTGAAGCTGAGACAAATCTGTTTACAGGAATGTTTGCCTTTGAATGGTTGCATCCTAGAGCAAAGAATCAAGTATCAATCACATCCATATGATAGGTGTTCTCCCCAGTAGCAGCGGGATCCACTGCCCAAAAAAGTCACAGGGAATGTCTTCATTTTTCTATCCCAGAACAGCATCCAGTCAGCACTGCTTTCTGTCCCAGTTGAAGATAACCCAGTCTTCGAATCAGTATATAATTGCCTATGGGAAGACTTGGGTCTTTGGAGTCAGGCAGTGAGTTTCTCAGCACACTTGTGTATAGAGTTCCCTAGGTATGGTGGCTGGAAGTGTATTCTGGGTTGGTCTGATTGGACCTTGCCAGGCAGTTAAAAAAAAAAGTTAGATTATCAGCTTGGTTGGGAGGAATCTCACCTCTAAAAACAACAAACTTTTAGAAAACACGATGGATTTATAATCACCATTGAAGTTCTCCTTCAAGACTATTTTGAATTTTATCAGTGCTTATGTTTACACTACAGTGAGAAGCCTAGCAGCAAGAATGGGTTTTAGTTTTAAGTGGAGGGAAAGGAAATGAATATAATCTATTTGTCATCGGGAGAGACTACCTTGAAAAAAATCAAACCGCTCCCACAATGTCATTTTACACACATGTCAAAAGGCAAGAAAAGATGATCTGGCTGTGTCCTGATTGGAGAAAAAGAATTTGGGTGCTACCAGTGGTAACATGAAATAAAGCAGAAACAGAACTGGTAGAGCTGGCCCCCTGAAGTCCTTAGGTTTCTATGTTCAGGGTAAAGATTACCCTACCCACAAAATGATCGTTGATGACATCGTTTATGATGCCTTTGCCCTTCAGCTGGCACTGCACAGGCACCGCTTGGTTCTTCACCACATCTGTAAAGTGCATTGCCACCAGGGGGGAGGTGTAGTTAACCTGTAGGTGAAAGAGCAATGGATTCTAAGTGTGGGGAGGGCAGGGAAGGCAGGAGGGGGTAGGATGGATGCAGTTGGATATTCAGTGCAGGATAGGATAACTTCCACAAAGGGAACTGAATAAATACCATGATGCCAATTCACAAATGGCTAAGTAACTGATATGCTCTCCTTTCCCTGTGAAAGCAAAGAAAGTACACATTTCTCTCAGAAGTCACTGTAGGGAAACCAATTCTGACTCAGCATGCTATGATTTTCTGGCTATCAGACCATGAATCAAACCAGAACTAGTACTGATCGACTCCTTATGCTGGAGATGAGTCCTTTACTGCCCCAAGGCTTCAAATGGCAGAAACATGGAAGTGTGATTATTTGGGCATAATTGAGAACCAAGGCAGTAATTTGTCTACTCCTGGCTCGGCCACTAATTAGCTGGGTGACCTTGGGCAAGTTACTTCCTCTCTTTGATCCTCAATTTCACCATCTGTAAATTGAAGACCAGACCATATCTGAGGACCCTTCCAGATCTGGAAAGAAGTAGTTGCAGTAGGAAGTGGTAGAGGAAGCCCCTGGCCATGACCAGAGGTCATTCACCCCTCTGTTACTCCTTGCTGCTTCCTAACTGCTATAGATCCCAAAGCCTTTCCTTTGCCTCCAAGCCCTTTCGGACTGCAAGGACTGAAGGGATACATGCTTACATGATGACTGAGGGGGATATAGGCTTACGTGAGTGAGTTTGCCGTAGTAAGGGTAGTAGCGGAGGTCAAAAGAAGCCGACTCTGGGTAGTAATGGATGGATCGGATGTCGTTTTCATCACCTCTCTGTAAGTAAAAGCAGGGATATGTGGGGTGCAGGGTCACTCAGTGGGTTAAAGTATGAGCTAAAGGGCCCGTGCCACAGGTGAAATCACTGTGTTGCCCATAGCCAAGAACGATCCTGAAAGCGGGATGACCCATAGCTCAGCCCAGACCTATCCCCAGAGGAGCGTTCGAGGGAGAGACTGTGCATTGGCTTTTCAGTTCAAAGAATACTGAATAGAAAGCCTGGACTGAGAAGGCCAAAGGTGCTCAGGATGGCTCCAGGACACAGACAGAAGGGTTCCAAAGGGCTTATAGTACCTGGTGCTGCTCTAGAAAGAGGGGCCACCCCTCCAGCACCTCTGCAAGGAATCAGGCTGGGCCTGGCACGCAGTCTTGGGCTTTGGAGGTGAGGCAGGTATGAACTGGAACACGTTTAGTGAATCTCCACAGCAACTTGCACACTGTAGGTACCGTTCTATTGGAAATCAGACCAGGTGCACAGGGACTCAATGCACAGGGACACCACCTACACAGTTGGCTCACCTACACTTATGTCTCTGACCACATCCTCTGTGGCCATCAGTTACAGTATGTAGAGTCAGAAGGATAAGCAAGAGCCCAGGTACTGGAAATGGTGCGAGTAAATGGTCTCCTCTTATCACATCAGATCAGGTGGGGAGCGGCCCATTCTGCCTATGCATTAGGCTTGTCAAATAACAGAGGTCTTAGGTGGCACAAACGGTTTATGCTCAACTGCTAACCCAAAGGTTGGTGGTTCGAACCCACCCAGCAGTACTGCAGAAGAAAGGCCTGGAGATCTCTTTCCGTTAAGATCACAGCCATTGAAAACCCTATGGAGCAGTCCTACTCTGTAACACGTGGGGTCGCCACAAGAATTGACTCAACGGCAATGGGATTTGTTTTGGTTTTTTGGAAGCTAATAAGGACAAGTCATTGCTAGCAAATTACTCACTAGGGTCGTGTGATTACTTCTGTCAATAGGCTTTAATCATTCTTAGTATAAACTGATCTCTCCTTGATTTATTCTAACTTTATCTCCTCCTGCAAGAGAAAAATATGTGCTTGATTTCCACAAGTGGGTGTGAATTTGACCAGTATTGATTATTATAGAATGTACAGAGACTCTTAATATTTCTTTTTTTTTTTAAAGGACAGTTCTCAGCAAAGTTTGATGTAAGCTGATAAATGAACAGCTTCCATTAGGGAGGTACAAGCAGGACTCTATCCAATTAATATGCTAGTTTAAGACTGAGTTGGTCTTTATGATTTGTTATTCTTCTAAAAAGCAACAAAATTTATTTTTTGTGCATGGCCTGTGGAATCAATTCCACTAGTTTGCTGTCACAGCTCACATGTCTGTAGATTTACATATGCATGTAAACAGAATGAATGTCTTCCTTTCTTGTTCACCTGGCAAACCCTGCCTGACCTTTCCAGATGCATATTCAGCATCACCACCTCCCAAGTGGAACGGACCTTTCCCTCTTCAGTGGTCACAGTGCACCTTTCATAGCACCTGTAATACTTGATTGCCTTGATTCCAGCGACTGAGTCCTCTTTATCTCTGCACCCCCAATATCTAGCAAAAAAACCAAACCTGTTGCTGTCGAGTCAATTCCGACTCATAGCGACCCTGTAGGACAGCGTAGAACTGCCTCATGGGGTTTCCAAGGAGCAGCTGGTGGAGTCAAACTGCTGACGTTTTGGTTAGCAGCCGAGCTCTTAACCACTGCACCACCAGGGCCCCTCACCTAGCAAAGTGCCTGGCATATAATAAGTGATTAATAAATGCTTGCTGTATGTGGAATGCTGGCTGAATAAATGCTGCTTTTTGCTATTTTCTGATCTGCCACCATCAGGACTAGAGTTGTGAGCTGTATTTCTAGTACTGGGAGTGGCTTTACCTGGCCTCGCACACTTGCGAGACAACCCCCAGAGCTGGGGGTGCAGTTAATGTTATCAGACAGGAGGAGGCTACTGCCATTTAAGAAGCAACCCCAAGATTTAGGGCCTTTTTCCTACAAAGGAGCTAATTGGTGCAGATGAGATAGGAGTTAATGGCCCCTCCAAGGACAGTTAATTAGCATATTAATGGAGTTCTGTTTATACTTCTGTTGTAGTCTCTTGTTATTGCAACACCCAGTGCCACTGGTCATTGCTGCTAAGTGTGAATTCAGTTTTAAAAGCAGGGACTAATGACTCTAATGAAAGCCGTTTGTTTAGTTCAAAGAAACAATTTAGAGCTAAAAGCAAAAGTGTAAACAGAATCCCAGTTAATGGCTTGGCACGTTGTTTTTCCTTGCTGTGGCCTTAGCAGAGGTTCAATCTTTGGCCTTCACAGGTATAAATCATAACACACACACACACACACACACACACACACAAGAATTAAATGCTTTATGGAAATAGGGAGGCCTGAAGGCACTAAAGGGAGGTCTAGCTATAAGAAGATTAACCCTTTCCCTAACCCATAGCCAATCATCCATGTGTACAGTGTTTGGAAGGGATGAACTACCTTTTTGCATGAAACAGATGTGCTAACAATGCTTACTCAAAAAGGCACTTTACCTGAACTTTGCAGGAAACCTTCACAGGATCTCCAAGCTCAGGACGAAAGCCTACAATCTATCAAAAGAAAACCAGTGGTTTTTTTTTTTTTTTTTTTTTTGATAGACAAAAAAACAGATTTGACAGTAAAAATGGGCTTTTCCTAAGTTCTCCTTGAGTCATTCTTCCTCAGGCATAAGCTTTGTCTATTTTGCCCCCCTCAGAAGGGTTACAGAAAGCAGAAACCGCAAAATATCCTCAGAGTTGTACAACCCAGCTTACTCCTTATGTTTGTGTCTGATATTCATACACAGTGGAAATTGCAGCAAGATAACCCCAAAGATGTAAAGAACTTTCTAGTTTCAAGAGGGGTGTGTTTGGTAAGCCTCTGTCAGACCCCTAAGACATGGCAGGAGAGAAGGAAAATGCATATTTTATAATATAAAAAACTACGCTTGACCCCACCCAAAGCTGTGTTTAGGGAGAAGAGGAAATTACTACTTGGTAGGTTTGTCTGGTTGGTTGTATTACTGATGCTGTTGGTAAAAATGGCCGAACCTGTAGTGTGTGAAGACAGAGCTCATAGAAATGGAGTGGCCAGAACCCTCCTACTCAGCTCATCCACTTATCACCAGCAGAGTATCAAGGGCCAATGTACCCGGTTCATCTTTAGAAGAATGCAGGGCTGTCCAGTAGAGTAGCCAAAAGTAGGGTCCTCCAAACCAGAGCAGTTCTTCAGAAAGGAACGCTTAAATTGGCAGGCTTTCTTGTCCTCATCCTCATTGCCATCTTGGATGAAGTACTGTCCTGGCGGACAATCTACGTTCATTTCCTCTTGAAGACTGTCATTATAACCTAAAGTGTGTGTGGGTGGCAAAAGCTCATGTTAGATAGGTGGCACAGGGGACCAGCATGTTTCCAGTAGTCTTCCGTCCCTGACTTCCTTTCTCCAGCTTGCTTGCACTCCATTGAAAGCCCACTCAGTCCATCCTGGCCCCTGGGACCTGAGATCAGGTGCCCAAGGCCTTCATCTGCAACACCACTCCAGGAAGCCTTCCTGGCTAATCACCTCAGCCCACTTTGATTGCTGCCCCCTCACTTCTCATTCCCTCAGAACTTCTGGATATCCATCTCTGGGTCATTTGGTGATTACTTGACATCTTTTCTCTATTTTCCATGATTTTTTTTCTTCCAGATATAGTAACTGTTCACATGAAAGGCTGCCTCTTCTACTTCTGGGAGAGAAATAGGCACATAGTAGATAGATTTAGGAAGAGGGACTGAATCATGTCAAGGCATGGTGTATCTAAGGAGGCTAAAGTTCTGGGTTAAATCTCCTTAAGTTCAGCCTAGGAAACAGCTCCCTTTGAGGTCAATGAGAGGCACCTGATGCAAGAGAGTGGGGGAAGTGTGTGTTGTGGACTGGGAGGGAGAGGACTGAGGAAGAGGAGGGAAGAAGCCAGTTCCTCATTCTGTACAAAAACAGAAGCTTAGGTTGAAAGATAGAAGCCAATGACAACCCCAGGGTCTTCACCGAGAGAGTGAGGGGGTGGAATTTTGTATACCACGGCATGAAGCACCCGGAGCTAGTGTCTCTTTACATTTGATGGAATGGAACATGTGTCCAAGGTACATACCTACATCAGGAAGCGAGTGAAAGTGGCTGTCCGTGAGCTGACACTTTGGGCTACCAGATGCCATAGAACTGGCCTTTGGAAATTACTTCATTATTCCCGATTTGGTTCTAAGTGGGTTCATGTTTCAAGTAGCTTGGTCTTTCAGAGGAGATTGTGCACCTATGATCCACCAGAGGCAAGACTCCAAATGTGCTGCTGGGCCCTCATCTAGCGAGGTTGAAGCTTGGGTTTTATATTATTAAGAGGCAACTAGAGCCCTGGTGGCACAGGGGGTAAAGGGCTCAGCTGCTAACCAGAAGGTCAGTGGCTCGAACCCACCAGCCGCTCTGTGGGAGAACGATGATGTGGCAGTCTGCTTCTGTAAAGATTTACAGCCTAGGAAACCCTAGGGGGCAGTTCTACTCTGTCCTATAGGGTCGACTATGCTTTTATTTTTTCTTTGACAAAGCTACATTCAGTTCAAGGTTTTGTTTTAATCTCTTTTTCTTTTTAGAACAAGAACTTTGCTCACCTCATAACTTTCTAAATAGAAGCTGCAATCACGTACTCATTGTTTCTCTTGAGGTAGTTCCATTAAAAATAATGTGACATGGGCATGACCCTTATTGCAAAATCCCAGTCCTCATGGGAATGAAACTGATACTCCGGGATGTCTATTCTGGAGATGTGTTCCTTTTTAGCAGGACATATTATCTATATCTGGGAGCTAAGAATCCAATGCTTTTCCTAAATGCTCCTCCCCCCATTAGGTCAGAATTAGTCTTTGTCCATCTACTAGCTTCTCAGTGGGCTTTCCTAAGCAGAGATTCTGGCAATATATTTGTAATAGCTGACAAGCATTTTGAAAGCAAATATTGTGCCGGCTATGATGCCCAAAATATTTTCTTTTTCTTTTTTGCCACAAACGGAACTGCATGGACTCAGAAAGAATCTAGCCCCCTCGTTTTACAGGTGAGGAATCTGGAGCTCAAACTTACCCAAAATAGCACTAGGCGTTAATGATAAAGTAGAATTTATAATTCCTGGTCATATGGCAGGAGTCCCCGGGTGGTGCAAATGGTTAAGCGCCCGACTACTAACTGAAAGGTTGGTGGTTCGAACCCATCCAGAGATGCCTCGGAAGAAAGGCCTGGTGATCTGCTTCTGAAAGGTCACAGCCTTGAAAACCCTATGGAGCAGTTCTACTCTGCACACATGGGGTCACCATGAGTCAGAATCGACTCAACGGCAACTGGTTTGGTTTGGTTTTGGGTTTGGTCATATGGCAGCAGCATAGAGTTATGTAAAGCAGTGCTTCTCAAGTTTCAGAGTTCGTACAAGTCACCTGTGGATCTTGTTAAACTGCAGGTCCTGATTCAGTAGTTCTGGAATGAGGCCTGAGATTCTGTCTTTCTAATAAGCTTCCAGACGATGCTCATGCTGTTGGTCCTTGGCTCCCACTTTGAGTAGCAAGGGTGTCAAGAACACGGACTTGGGTTCACATGCTGGTTCTGCTTCTGATCAAGTTACTACCCCTTTCTGAGCCTCAGCTCCTTCATTTGTAAAAAGGGGACTATAGACTCTACCATGCAGGGTTACACTTAAATGACAAAATGTATGCACTTAAGTAACGCTTCCTGGCACCTGATTAGAGATTGTTCTCCTTCCAATTCAGTGCGCTTTCTACTAGCCTCCGTTCCCCTCCCTCCCCTCCCCTTTCAGCCAGACCAGGTCAACCCAAACAGTCTGACTGGCTTTTTTCCACAAGTAATAGTTGCGGCAGTGTAAAGCTCACCAGGGCTTCTCTTTGATAGCTGGATAACTACAGAACCTGTGTGCTTTGTGTTTTACCTTACCCTAGAGGAAAATCTGGTGGCGTAGTGGTTAAGAGCTACAGCTGCTAACCAAAATGTCAGCAGTTCGAATCCACCAGCTGCTCCTTGGAAGCCCTATGGGGCAGTTCTACTCTGTCTGACAGGGTCCTATGAGCCAGAATCGACTCGACGGCAACGGGGTTTTTATTTTATTTTATTTTTTTTTTTTTAAGTCTCTACCTCAGCTTTCACCATGCGGAAGGGCCTCCCACAAACCATTCATTTGTCCCTGAAAAGGTATCTGATGAAGCTATAGAGATAGGCATCTTGAAAACACTTAGGATCAAAATGTTGGAATGGCTACCAGCCAGGGAGTCATCCTCTAACTTCCTTCTGGAATGTTGTTAGAGACACTTTCTCTCTCCTTTCAAGGTAGCCTATATCTGAGAAATGGATTCTCTTACCTTGAAAAAGTGTAGGAGGCAGGAAGCTTCCAGCTCCGGAGAACATTCTCCATTTCTCACCACCACCTCCCCCCAGAATTATCTTTCATAATTAATCATTGCATGTATTTAGCAAACCCTTATTGAGACACCAGGGTGTGCCCAGGTCTTAACTAGGTGCTATAGGGTGTTCAAGAAGAGAAAGCAAGTCCTTTGCCCCAAAGAGCTTATAGTCTTGCTGGAGAATTGGCTTGTATGCTTTCAAGGCAGCATACAATCACAAACTAGAGCAGTTTCAATTGTTTCTACAGGTGCTGAGGGGATGCAAGGTAAAGAAAGACCATGACGGGCTGGGATTAGTAAGGGTAGGATTTCTGGGCCAGGTGAATTTTGAATCCCCATCTATTACTTTTCAAAAGAGCTTTCCACTCTTCGGAGGAACTTACTTACCCTGGAGAAAGCCATTTAGGCTAATCACATAATGCTGCCAAGTGTCAGGTTCAGAGACGTTGAAGTTGAAGTTAAGGCTATGGGCGAAGGGTCTGATCATAACTCCTGGCAATGAAAACAGGTCTTGGATATATTAACCCGTTCTTGGGATAATTTTTTTTTTTGTATTGATTCCCATGAAACCATTTCCCCCCAGGCAATCAAAATGAAAAGGACCATAATTTGCCAAGTACCATTTTACGTTTACTCTTAATAATTGAATCCCTAAGTCATTACCGGAAAGAGCCAAAGTTAATTGAGGCTGAACATGCTGTGCAAGCAGATATCTGTCCAGCGAGTTCCGACAACGCAGGACATTTGGGCACTCACCAGCAGGCTTCACCCTCTCAGTGAAGGTCGGCATGTAAGCACTGATGGTCAGAAATAGCGTGTACATGCAGACAGTTATCACAGCAGCCAGAGAGGCATAGAAGAAGAAGTAAATGACCAAGATCAGGCCTGCAGAACAATCAAAGATGAGAGCGGTCACTACTTGCCAACAAACCCTGCTTCCTCCGCCCTAGCACTTGAACTCATGAACCAGGACCAACCCAAACACCAGCGATGGCTTTTTAAAAAATCTTATTGCCCAGGTTCAGTATGTCCTTGCTCATTCAGATTTCACCAATTTAGAATTGGCGTGGATTGTGTCAGGGGTCTGATTACAGTTTACCTTTACAGCATCTCCGATGGAAGGGCTTGCTGAGCAAATGATGACCATGAACAAGATTACAGGGGAGTGGAGTTTAAAGTACTGCCGAGGGCAAATTGCTTACGAGCCCTCTGGGCAACGATTGATATCCTAAGTACAAATCATTGTTCGCTATTCATTAAAGCAGGTGCCCTGAAGAGCCCCAGCAGCTTGGCTCCGGTGATTATATGTATTTGCCAGAGATGAAAACAGCATTTCTTTTCGCGTGGTTTATAATTCAAACTTCTGATTAATTTCCACTGGACTTGCCTCTAATCAAAGCAGAATGAGATTTGACCCTACTTATTTCAAACCTTATTCATCTTTAGCAAAAGTTTAAGTGGTTCTGCTGTTCAAAAAGAACACTAACACAGGGTGGGGGAGGGAGGAGGAGGAAACTGAATTTAATCGCTGCCACTTGCTACCCGTGAGCTTGGGCAAGTTACAGAGCCTCTCTGGACCTCCGATTCCTCACAGGTAAAATGGGTATAAGTTTAGCACTTACTGCATATCTTTAGCTGTATCTCTAACAATATCGGAAATTCATCATTTCCTCACATCCTATCCTGACTATACCACTTCCTAACTGTTTAATCTTGGACATTCTGTTCACCTCTCTGAGCCTCAATTTCCTCATCTATAAAATGAGGACAATAATAGTACTTACTTCTTAGGGTTGAATAATGCATAGAAACAGCATAGCACAGAGCCTGGCAGATAGTAAGTGGTCTATTAATGACAGTCATTGTTATTATTACTAATAGTATTGTTATTGCTATAGGTCCAGAAGCAAGGTTGTGTGGATTCCCACTCCGTGGGCTTTAGTGAGACTAGGTTGGCCCCAGGATTAGTCAGTACTGAGTGAGGCGAGTGTGTGTGAGGTGGCTTCTGGGAAGCTCTTTTCAAGTTCTCCTAGGGGCCCTGTCAGGCAACAATACCTGGCTCTGGCTCACAGCAGCGAACTGCAGATTTGAACTGAATCATGAACTAGAATCCGAAACAAACCACATAACTTTGCTGTACCAAAAACTGAATCCAAATATTAATTTTTTAATTGAACCATGAACCAAATAAAATTAACCAAAAAAAGAGGAGGGGGGACTAGGGGAGAGGGGGAGAAACCCTTAGTAATCCAACTGGAAATGGAACTGACCCTTTATGTTTTATCAGATGAACTAAAGCAGAACTGGAACATGAACATATTGATCCAATTGGAGTCCCTAGAGAAGAAACAGCAGTGCCTGTGTGCCTGTGATATTTGGCTACTGCCCACTGGCTATCCCAGTGCTTCGTGCCTCCTCCTCCATTCTTCCTCCCCCATCCTAATCCTGGGAATGAACTCAACAGCTGGAGCCATCTTGGGGTACTGGAAGACTCAGTTTTCATAGATGAAGGGAAAACAATGGAATATGGGTACGTTTCCTTGGAGATAGCTTCCTTCTTGCCCAGGATGTGTGGCCAGGAAGCTGTAGATGGGAGAATGGCACTAGCAATCAGTCCCCTCAGCCTCACTCAGGAGGGGATGCCTCGGAGTCTGGGATGGGTTAACTACCTCAGCTAACCCGACAGGCAAAACCCAGCACTGTCTCCATCTGAACCCATTGATCCCTCCAACCTTTTCTGCTCCAGATGTCCAAGTTTTATTTGGGTCTCTCTCAGAGGAAATCCAAGGTTCCCTCCTGCAATACCCCACCCAGGCTAGGATAGACCACTAGGTACCAGTGCTCCCAACTCTTCACTCCTCCCACCAAAGCACCCCATCCGGTCCTGGTGTCTTGGTAAGAGAATGAACTCTAGTGTTCATCCAACCTGGGTTTGAATCCCAGCACTGCCACTTATTAACTGTGTGACTTTAGACAAGTTACTTACCCTCTCTAAGCCTCAGTTTCTGCATCTGTAAAATGGGGATAATAATATTACTAGCTCATACGGTTCTTGTCAGTATCCAATAAAATAACATATAGGTTGTCCTGAGAATAGGGTTTGCCCAGCTCCCAAAGGGAAAGTCCAGAGTATAGCTGGCTGGGGGAACGTGTTGGATACATTGAAGTCCAGGCTGGGACAGGGTTATAGTAAAGTGCCCAAAATAGGCAACTAGCTCTCAGGCAAGAGGGCAGAAATGCATGTGCTTGGTGGTCTAGGCATTGACATCACTATTTGCCCTTTGCCTAGGGGTAGCCCAACAGAAGAAGCCTGAATCCCTGAACTCTCCTTAGACCTGCTACCCAGTGCCCTGGTCATGGCCTACTTATACGGTGTCCTCACTGCCATATTCTTCCTGAACACTGAATCTTTCCCCTTCATTCCCACTTATTGGCCTATGTACTGTCCTCCACAGGAGCAGTTTGGATCAGCTCATTGGGTGAAGTTCCGGTGGCTAGCTGTTTAGGGGTTAATGTAGGGCTCCCCCTCCCATAATCACACTTGCATTTTCGCAGGGCCTGTTTTTCTATTCCCTTTAGGCAAGGGAGAAACAGCTGTGTCCCCTTTGGAGCCCCAGTGGGTGTCTAGCATTTGTCTGCAGCTTCCAGAATGTTGGAATGTCCCTTGAATGGTACATTTGTTCCAGTTGAGAGTTAGAGGGATGGGAAGGGGTGGGGCTGGGAACTGAGGAGGAGTTAAGGGAGGTGGGTATTGTTCAGAGCCCCACACTTGCTATTTCTAATTCCAGGAAGCAGGCCTGGCTGTTTCACCCTGACTGAGCTGAATTAAAACATAAACCATGAGAGAGAGAATTCTCAGCCAAAGGGGCCTTTAGAAGGCTCAGCCATCAACTTCTACACCCTTAGCACTAGGTTGACTCTTATTTCATCCATGGTGCCCTCTATCTTTTTCCTTTTCCTGCGGATTAACTGAGTTCCTAACCAGCAGCTGCTTTTTTTCTGGGCTGTGCAGAGAGTGTGACAAGTGTGAATTTTACCACAGGCTACATCTCCTGAGGAGAAGGCTCAGCATTAATAGTTTAAGAGGTGTGTAGGACCCTGGGAAGGGAGTGTTGAGGAAGTTGTGATGGAAAAGTGGTGGCAGCATGTGGTACAAAGAGGAAATACGAAGGAATACAATTCTGCCATTGACCAAGCTGTATGAGGTTCAGTCTTCATCTCTAGCAATGATCCCCTTAAACCTAATCCCTATGTGTCCACCACGGGACAGTGAAGCACACGCAAGCTGGGGCCAGAGGTGGGCCTCCTGGGTTTCCTTTTCTGATGTTAGTAGGTGAAGTGATGAGGCTTTATGAACCCTTGGCTGGGTTAGCAAGGACTTGAGTCTCATATCCTAGAAATAGTCTTCTGCATAGTACTTTCAACTTGACAATTGTTATCATCTCCTTGGAGCCTCACACTAATCCTGCGAGAAAGGCAAGGCAGGGATTATTTCCCTCATTTGGCAGGTGAGGAAACTGAGGCTTAGAGAGAGTAAATGATGGGCCCAAGGTCACATGGGTAGAAAGTGATGGGGCTGGAACTTAAAATAAATTCTCTGCTTTTCCAACTCATTCTCACTGCCTCTCTGCACTGCAACTGATATTGGGTCTAGTGGATTTCAGCCACACAACCAAGTTTGTTCACCCACTTGGAGTTTGTTCTGATGGGATCTCATAGTCCTGGCATTTCCCTAGGCACTGGTCCCTTTAGATGAAATGCTAAGAGATGTTTGCAGACAAGCCCATCCAGCGTATGGTAAAGGAGCCCTGGACACCAAGCCAAAAGCAAAGGACAGCCGACTGGGACATTGGGACAACTGGGACTTACTCCAACTCTGACCTGTTCGGGCCAGAGACATCCTTTGCTCCGGATCCCACAGGTATTCGTTCATGAGCTGCAATTTCTGCCACCAGGTATTGCCTGTTGGCTGACCCTGACCCTCTTCCTCCTCCTTTTGCTCCTCTTCTTTCTCTTCCTCCTCCAAATTGGGTACCCTCATCACCCGAGCCTCTTCCTCTGCTTCCTCCTCTTCATCTGCCAAGTAGTTCTGGTTCACTTCATCCTGATCATCCTGGAACAGTGACAAATCACAACCCCCTTTCTTGGTAGAAATATTTCCAATGGAGCATCCCACCAGCCAAAAACAAATGGAAAAGGACTCAATATTTGGAGACATTTCAAATTTCCACTTCCTCATAAACATACCAGTTGTTACAGAGGCAGGTTTTCCTTCCCTTTGTTCCTTTTGGGGAAATCTTTATACAACCTACTTTGACTCAGTATTCTTTCCAGAGAGTGCAGATTTTATTCTCAGCTTCAGGCATTTAGTCTCTTTCCCCAAGACTGCTCATGTCACTACCTTGTCCTGGGGCCTTGACCTCCTGCTTGACTTTGCCTGGCCTGTCAGGGCAGAGCTGAGCTCAACACTGGAGGATAGATAGTCGTTTTAGACACTTGTTTGCATGATGGAAACAAGTCTAAGCTGGTTTCATCCTAACACCCAGTAAACTTTCAGCTGCCCACCCTCACCATCCTAAATTGTATCTAAAAATAGCCTGGGTCAGCCATCAGGAGGAGAGGCAAGCTGCTGTATCCTTCCTCAAAACGTAGACTGCCTTCCTCAAAGAAATAAGACATGGGGGATTATTTGCTGCTTCTCTGCTGTTGCCCTAGCTGGAAACTAGGTTGGACAGACTGGTTGGACAGACCACCCTGAGGGCTGGGACCCCAACAGATACTTCCTTAGTCTCCCCCTGTACCCTAGGCAAAAAGCTGGGCATGTAGTACACGCTCAGCAAGTATTTGTTGATTGACTGATTACTGCTGATTACTGATTACACCATTACTTGAAATGGAAACTGTAACCTCTGAGTGGTTCTATGCAAATTTAACAAAAGAAAGAAAAAGAAAAACTCAAACTTCACCAAGTGGTGTTTCAAATCCCTCCCAGCCACAGTCTGGAGAGTTGTATCTTTGCTCTTTGGGGGTCTGCCAAGGCTCACTGCAGCAGCAGAAAATGAAGCCACCCTTCCTTCTCTCTGCTGTCCAAATCTGAAGAGTGGCAAGGCCTCTGCACCTGTTTGGGGCTGGATGTGTCAAATGATAGGACCAGGGGCTCTGTGCTGCCCTCTCCCTGCCTGATTCATCAAAGGCCACGTAGAGGGCACTCAGCTAGAAATGCTGCACTTGGCGGGGGGATTCAGGAAACTAGGTTGTTTAGAATCAGTAAAAGTGATACAGAATGACAAGGCTCTACTCTTAGCTGCTCAGTACTATCTAGCTCTTGCTTGTAAGCACTCTTGAATTGTTCTCTAACTTGTTCAAATGTACAGCTTTATATCACACATCATATAAGAACTGACAGGGATCTTCAAGATTTGCTTGTCCAACTGAGGCCCAGAGAGGGGACATAATCTAGTGAAAGCCACATAGTAAGTTCATGACAGAGATGACAATCTCAGAACCTCTATCTCTTGATACCCTGGACAATAATGTTTTTTTTCTCTATCACATTGAGCGTAAGTGCTTAGGGGTGGTTTAGCAGATTTATGAAGCACAACAGTGTGTTGTTAGATCATGTTCCCAAGAGATTGGAGGCGCTTACAATCAAGGATTTCCGACTTTGACATGGGCTCACAGTGTAAGGCTTAGGAGAATAAACCCCATCACTCACTGTTGAAAGCATTAATAAATGTTCTTAAATCTCCTTCACTTGTGTATGAACCTAGGTACACATTTGACCTCCCAAGCTACATTCTGAACGCCCAGGGGGCAAGGTATTTATTTTCTAACTCCTTGATGGACCTCCGTGTGTGAAGCCCAGAGCTAAGTACACAGTGGGTGCTGACTAAATGTCAATGATGATTGCCTGATTTAAAGCTCTGAGCCAGGACTCTGGGGAATGCTGTCATGGAGCTTGTCACCCTGACCTCAGCAGTCATGTGAACTGTAGAGGGTAGTCATCATGGCCCCCAGAGAACCTGCCGCAATTAAGCTCGGAGAATTTGAAGTGTAACATTTTATCATGGAGTAATTTATATTCCCTTTATGTTTTCTGAATAACTTCATTTTTTCTCTTTGTTAGCCGTGCATGCCTGCCGCCTCCGCTCCACAGAAGAGGCAGTTGGCCTTGGCATTAGCCTGATCTTGTTTGTAGATATGAGCTCTCATGATAACTCCATTAAAGATGGCTTGTCATTAAAGCCTTGCTGTTCTGGGAAGAATGAATCTTCTCAGAGCTAATTTCCCCACAGCTCTCACACTGCCTGAGCCTTCCTTCAGGAACCTCAAATACCCGTTTCCTTCTCCCCTGCTTCCAGGTACAGGGGAAACCTCATGTTATGCAAGAGCTGCCTTCCTAAAAAGTTCCTCATTGATTAAATCCTGTGTAAAATGCAGTTTTCACGAAACTATCTAATGAAATCCAGTAGAGAATCCTTTGGTAATGAGAATGTTTACCCCCAGCCTTCTGTTTTTGTCAGTTTCTTAAAGTGGCGTGGTTCTCATGTGATCATGTATGTGAGTATGCTGGGATATGGAAGGGGGTGGGTGCTGGAGTCATCATGTTGCCCTAAAAGGGAAGAGTCTGAAGGGCAGAGGGTGGCTCCATTTTGAGCAATCTAAATATATAAACATATAAACAAATACATAAACAATATAACCCAAAGGATAAATTTGGGCCCTGCATTGAGTAACACCTTGTAAACATTTAATCAGTTGATGATTTTTAAAAGATAAATTAGCACACGGTTATTATACACTGCCTCAAATAATTTCTTTTTAACTCACTTGAGTATTCCCCATAAGAAGCCAATTCCCCCGATGCGTTTAAAACCAAACCAGTTGACAACAACTGAAATCATACACACTTCAGAAACATTCCACAGAAAAGAAGCCAGGTAAGGAATAGTTATATGCTCCACAGATTATGACTACTTTGAGAGCTAGAAGGGACTTTAGGGAGTGTCAAAAGAAAGAGTCTACACATTGTAGCTGGAAAGCTAAGGGAAGCCCTTTGTAGCTTGTTATGAGGTTAGAAGTATTCGTGTTTCCCTCTCTTGGCGGTTGATAGTCTTTACTCAACTCCCTGAATATGTAATCGCTGAGGGAGGTTTCAAGACTACACACCCCACCACCACCGCCACTGAAAGTACTGTGTGTGGCATAGATTAATGATTTATATCAAAGTAAATGCAAATAAACTTTTGGATAAAGAAATTTATAATGCATTCTGGAAATGAGTGGTGACACCAAAGGGTTGTGTGTATGTGTGCGTGCGTGCATGCATGTATGTGTTGGGCAGGATAGGGTGGCAGGCAGGGTGGCAATGGGTGGGGTGGATTGGGGGTTAGGGGGTTGCATACTTCACAGTGTAATGGAAAGAGCACAAGACTAGAAGTGAAGAGACTTGCATTCTCACTTTGGCTCCTCCACTAACTTGCAAGTCACTCCCGGGTTCTAAGCCCCAGAAGCCTCCTTTACATAATGAAAGGTTCTGGAGAGATGATCTCTAGGATTCCTCCCAGCTTCCTATATCGAGGATTCTATGATTATAGCCAGAGTTTGGAATTTCTGCGTTAGAAAAAGAGCAGCTGTGTTCCTAAGAACCTACCACCCGAAGGGATTGAGACAGCTGGGTAGGCAGTCTTTCCTTTCCTCTTCTCCTCCCCTTCTCTCTTGGTTAAATTTCTTGCTATCAGAATGAAACCCCTACTTGCAGACTCCAAAGGTCTGCTCAAATTCTGGACTTCCAAGGAAAAAATTTAGAAGGCCCCTTATTCTCTGGCATCTCCCCCTTCTCTCATCCTTATCTTTGTTTTCCAGGAAGAAGGGCTTCCTCCTTCCTTCCAGCAATGTGGGGTGCCCTGGGGTGCTGGGAGCCATCGCTCCCACTTGAAGCCTGGGCGTTCATAAACTTCACCGTTCCTGCTAAGCACAAGGAAAAGCAGCCATAAGCCTAGACCTACACAGCCCCCAACCTACCCCACCAGAAAGGGACAGCAAAACGTTCTGCTCCCTAGGACTCACAAGTCTGTAGCGATAGCCATGGGGAAAGGTTGGAGCCCTTCTGGACCGGAGTTGCTGTCTCATGGCTGCTCAGTGGGCAAAGACGTGGCAGAAGCAGACAAGTGGATGAGAGTTCTGGAACTTCTGCTGGTACAGGAGACACTGGCTGCTGGGGACACTTGGCACCTAGTAAAAGTGAACCCTCCTGGCATGAGCCCTTCCCCAAAATAATCCAACATGCCCCTCTCTCATTGGTTGGCCACTTCCCCGAATCAAGGGAAAGCCCTTATGGAAAAGCAAGCTCATCATTACAGAGAGTGGGTGATATTCTGGGTCACGAGGATGAGCGACTCACCCCTTCCACCTTCATGTCTCTTCCCACCCCCTGCCCTTCTCCAGTGCCTGAGATACAGTGGGCCCAATGGAAATCTTAAGTTGTGTTCTTCTCAATTGTGAGTTGGATATCAGTGTGTGCAGGGGTTAGAGTGTGGGTGGGAGTTGGGGTGAGGAGAGATGGCTAGGAATAACTTGCTTTTTTCATAAGGCTGATCTCATGCAAAAGGATCCAGAGTGTCAGGAAAGATTCCCTTTGCTCTCCCCGCACACGCACACACCAAGCCACCTACAATATTCCTTATTTGTGTCACTCTATGAGCCTCTTAAAATAAGGATTATGCTTTCTGATTTTAGAGGCTAGGACCACCCTTTACTCCCCCTGCCCCCCAAAGAGGGTCTTGGACATAAAGAAGGCTTTTTCTAGCCCACATGTCAGAGTGGCCCATCAGTCACTGCCCCTCACACACACACACACACAGACACACAGACACACACACACACATACACACATACCCCTTGGAATGCTGGCCAAATTTCTGTAGTGGTTGAGATCTATATTTATCACTTAGCATCAGGGCAGGGAACAAGCCAGAACTTTGCAGTGTCAGTTTCCCAGACATATGTAACTCCTGAAGCCAGTGTGGGATACAACAAGAGAACAATTAGTAGAAACAGCCAAAATACAGCATTTTTGGTCTGTTTGGTCCACCCAACTGCAGGCTGGGTAGCTAGGAGGGCTGGGTGGAGTTTGTGACCTTTCCTTCACAAATTAACCCCTCCCCCCATTACATCCAGGTGGCTGGTTATGTTGCAGATGTTGAGATTCTGGGCATATATTCACAACAAAGCACAGTAGCTTAGATAGGTAGATTTATTCACAACTCCAAGTCTAGGCTATTCTGATAAAAACAGCATCAATTGTGGTTAATTTTAAATTAAGATTCCGTTTACTGGAACATTACTAATCAGCACTCTTCCTTAACAGAGTCTCTCTCCATACCTTCTTTGAAGAGAAGGAGGCCACTTTGGAGTTTAACAAAAGCAAAATATATTCCAGGGGATAATCTGGTCTCAGTAGATATCAAGCTCTATCTCTTACATCTTCTCCAAGCCAGTCTTTGACATGATTCCCGAGACCCTCGGAAGTCTCAACAACCGAACCAAGGGTAGGTTAACTGGACTTGCCTTACTAAGGCAGAAAAGAGAGTATGGTCATTTTAGCAGCATTCAAAATCCAAGACTGGGAGGACAAAAGGGGACGTGAAGTGACATCACGTAACTCTCAGGTGTAACAAAAAATTCCATTCTCCAGAATCTCCCATTCCCTAGGTTCTGGGTAACTGAGGGTTTGATATATACTTAATACATTTGCAGTGTATTTTGACTATAGCCCAGGCTGCCTTCTGGAATGCCAACTGTTGGGTGGGATAAAATAACCAAATCCCCTAGGATCTCAAAGACAGAAATCTGTATGAGTTCACACTCAGAAGACTCTAGTTAAAGGAGAAATCATTCCTGCCAATTTTGAAACAAAGCAATATACTTAACAGTGCAGCAAAATGGAGCCAGAAGAAGTGGCCAAGGGGGCTGCAAAGGAAGCAGGGGCTACAGAGGCCAGAGAGGAGGATGAAAGGGGAGGCTTTGAATTTGAGAACAGATTCAAAGGCAAATGATTCAAGTTTCTAAAACTACATGTCCAGTCCTTGGGTACAGGTGTCAGCAGCTGCTTCTATAAACCTGTTATCCTGGTTGCCTGCTCCAGTAAAGCCACATGTTTGCTGGCAATGGCAACTAGGAAAAGAAACATTCTTTTGGGACTGGATCCTCCTGTTCCCAAAGGAAGAAAGAAATAGCAGCACCTTTCAGAGCATCTTTGACTTTACCATGAGATAGGCTAGTTTATGGCATCTGTTCTTGCGGGTCATTTCTACAATTGTGGGGAGGGGGTTCAGTGTGTCCCTGAGCCATAAAGGAGCAGTTGTGTACTTTCCCTACCCGGGGATTGACTAAGTCCTCCGGGAGTCTCTGGGAGGCCATGTGCAATGGAGTTTAAGGGTTGTTAGTTGTTGGATTCACGCAGGCATTACTGAGTATCCCCTAGAACCCCAGGCCCTTCCAGTATTAGAGACCCTGTGGACTTTGAAGTTGTAGGTAAGGAAGCTTCAGGCTGGGCCAAGGCCTAAGGCTGCCTGTGAATGCTGCCCAGCATAGGATGTCCTCTCTGAAGCGCACGGAGGAGGGGGCACTCACTTGGGGCTGCAAAGATCAGGGAAGGCTTCCTGGAATAGGCGGGGCTTGGGCCGGACCTTCAAGGGCATTCCTTCAAGCTGGAAAAGCGACTGCCCGACTTTGATGATGCCAATCTGGTCCCCAGTGCCCAAAGTTCACCTCCCTCCTGAACAGCTAGCTTCTGAGTAGTGGCCAGCAGGTATAGCCAGCAGGCTCACTGGCTAATGCCAGAGGGTTTCCTTGACCTGAATGGTTCAGATAATGGTCCTAGGTCCCTACTTCGCTGGGTTCCGGGAAGAACCCTTAGTGCATCACATTCCTGAGCAGAGTTTCCATCTGTGAAGTACAGTTGTACGGTGAGCGATGCTTTCACTTCCAGGGACTGAGGGTCATGGTTTTGTGACTGTATAAGCCTAGACCCCTAGGGGATAAAATGAAGGCTTGGGAAACTGTGAGGTCCTTGTGGAGATTCAAGCCTATTTCCAGTGGCTAAAAGGCACTAATGAGTATAATGCAGGCAAGAGACTTTGCTTCAAACAAACAACTAATTGGAATTAAGAGAAGAAGTGTGCAGAGACCCCTAATGAATGGATATGTTAATTGGTCTTCTTTGCTAGCCCCTTGGGCTTTGGCTGTGACATAGACTAGCCTATTAGATGTCTGCTCTGTAATAGCTGCTGAACGCTGGGGCCCTTTATTGCCATGGTAACATTGATGTCTAGAGTCTAGCTGAGCCCCGGATCTCTTAATTTACTACTCAGGCGGCTACAATTCTTTGGGTTTTATTATTCTTTGTGCCCCGGTGCCAGAGTGGCAGTGAATCATGCTTATTCATCCTGTGCACCGCCCACGGTGTCTTTGAATAAGTCAGGGTGTCTCTTACTGTGTGTGATGAGCAGATTATTAAGTTACAGCCTATTTCTGCCTTAGCTAGACTGGTGCCTCTCAGAAACCCAATGCATTTCTCCAACTGCTTGCTTACCTGCTGCATCGAATGACTTTTGGCAAGCAGAGTGATGGCACTGCAGTGGGCCCCGCAGAGGCCCAGCCTCAGGAGCCTGGTGCTTGCCTGGTGGGCAGGGAGGAGTGGAGCAATACAGGTGGGGCAGGATCTGCTAGGAGGATGGACCTCGGAGACATATGCCATTAAAAGGAGGCAGCTGGAGTCATCACTGGGAATGTGGTGCTGGCTAGGTGCTAGAAGTTTCAGTCCTTCTAGGATAAGGGGTTGGGCCTATGTGGAAAAGGAGCTCCAGAGGAAGGAAGTAGCCCTACAAGGCTGGAAGCTACAGTGGTGGGGTGAGGTGACGTGGAATGGACTTTACCTTATTTTATAGAAGATCTTTGTTATAAGAGCTGGTCACAGAGACCAGCTGCCTCTGAAAGTTAGTAAGCAACTTGTCACTAAAGGTCCCCAAACTTTGGTAACTCAGTATGTTGTTGTTAGTTGCCGTCCCGTCAATTCTAACTCATAGCGACCCCACGTGTGCAGAGTAGAACTGTGCTTCATAGGGTTTTCAAGGCTGTGACCTTTCAGAAGCAGATCGGAACATCTACTGCCAGGGGATAAGGAGCAGGATGGAGTGCTTTACTAGATGACCCCTCAGGACTCTTCCAGCCTTGAAATCTTGTGTGTCTATATATGACACTGTTTACTTGATCAGGATATATGCTAGACTTGGATGATACTTTATATGTACATGTGCTTGCTTCCTCAGCATATAGTGCTAAAATTGGGATGATACTATATCTGCGTGTGTGTCTGTGTCTGTCTTCAGCCATAGATGGAACTTCGTAACAGGTACAAAGATCTTTTCCTGACACCTCTGTAGCTGAAAAATGGACAACCTGAAACTAAAGATAAATTTTGCAATTAATCCCGAAATTACAAACAATTCTTGCTAGCAGGAGAGAGTCTTGAGGTGCTTGGATTTTGTGGTTTTGTTTTTTTCATTTCACGGCAGTTTGGCTGGGCATTCTCATGGGAGAATTGGCAGACTATAGAGAAAACGGTGGGCTAGTGGCACAGTGGTTAAGAGCTCAGCTGCTAGCCAAAAGGTCGGCAGTCTGAATCCACCAGCCGCTCCTTGGAAACCCTATGGGGCAGTCCTACTCCCTCATATAGGGTCACTATGAGTCGGAATCTACTCAGCGGCATTGGGTCTGGTTTTTTAATTTTTATTCATATTTGGAGCAGCTTTACAAGGCTTTTTTTCTGTTTGTTGGGAATGGAGGGTATAGGGAGAGATCTTCTTGAGCTAACTAGATTCTAAGAGGTAGAGGTTTGCCCTGTTACAGGCTGGGCAGAAAGCTGTAAGCCTAAGGACAGTCAATCAAATGTGCCAAGCACAGAAGGGGCTATTAGGTAACATTGGTCTTTTGCACCAGCCCCTGCAAACCTGTTTATTATCAGCAGCAGCATTTCTCCACGCAAAGGACAGAGATATTAATCCAACTCAAACCCACTCTGGATTCAGCAAGCACCAGTCAGAAATCACATTGGCTCCCAGCTGCCTCTTAAATCAAAGTCAAATTTATAAGCAGGAGCTTAAGGTCTCTCCATCAACAGCCCTGCTCAGTTATGCACTTGTTGTGAGACCACAAGAATGCCAACTGATTTCTCTGTTTCACTGTCTGCCCACCTTGAAAGAGGTCCAGGTGTTCCTGCTTCCTCACTCTTAAGAAT